TCTGGGGCTGTTTTTCATGGTTTGGGCTAATAAGCCTCTATCTTTGAAATAAGGGAAATCTTAATGTTACAGCATAGAGTGATATATTAGAAAATAGTGTGCTGCTAACTTTGTGTCAACAGTTTGGGTTTGTTCCTTTCCTGTTATAAAAAGACAAAGCCAGGTCCACAAAGAAATGGTTTTCCCAGTTCAGTGTGGAAGAACTTGACTTTGCCTGCACAGCACAGACAGGACCTCAACCCCATCTGACACCTTTGGGATGAACTGGACTGTGAGGGAGGCTTTATCCACAAACATCTTGTGGCTGAATGGGAGCAAATGCCAGCAGCCAGATCCACATACCTTTGGCCATGTAGTCTGTATTTACACCGTATGTGTGTCAATTCAAGAAACATCGACAAACATTATCAACGGATCAGATTACTTTTTGTTAAATGGACACACTGCTACCACTGTTGTACCCCTGAGCTGTTCAGTTGGGGAAAAAAACCCATATTTGTATCCGGCAACTTCCGTGTGTTTGTGTACAATTGTAGCCCTCCCTCTGCAGCTCTGTCCTTACGCTGTTAGTGTAAATACGACTCCACTGCAGTTGATTTGCCTTGCTAAATAAGGGTTTGAAAGCCTGGGAGTGTCAGTTGTTAAACAGGGACTCACCCTCACAACGTCTGCCTGACTAAAACTTTCTGTTTAAGCCAGCTGACACACCCTGGATGTGTTATACAGCATGTACATGCAGGCCTGAGTGTGTATGTGTGTGTGTGTGTGTGTACCCCGTCATCCTGGGCTGAGTTGAACTGTACAGGTCCCATGGTGTGTCTCCAGTTTTTGACGACTGACGCATTGTCTGCCTCGTGGCCATTCTCCATCCTGGAATGGCCGGAAGTTACAGGAGCCTGGAGGACCCAAAGCACAGTTTGTTTAGTTTAATTTGCCGCTACTTATATCTACTTCTTGGCTGGATTCGTCTGTTGGACATCACAAACAAACTGCTTTCCACTGATCCCCATGTAGGGAAGGTCTTTACCTCAGGCAGGTTCCATTCAGACTTGGAGCCGTCTCTTAGATAGTAGTAGGTCTGCCCTCGATCATCCACAGACTTGATCCACTGTTAAAAAACATTTTTTAGTTAAATATGATTCAAAATTCCTGTTACTTCCCAAATAAGAAGTTGGAAGTAGTTCCAATGACTTAAATCTACAATAGAGTTCCTCCCCTATACAGTATATTTATGTATATTATATAAATATTTTAATATTTTGGAATTAAAAGAATACCCTATAGCAATAGTAAGGATAAGACAATGGGACACAGAGGAAATGTTGCACAGTGAGGCTATACTACTATTTTAGTATTATTTGTGCTCCCTGTGTGATCATTCAGCATTATTCTACATTGTAAAGGCATCAGCATGCTTCAGACGAAGTGCTTGTCAGTTGGCCCAGCGTCGTCTGAAAGCCCCTTCACCCACACCTTTCCAATGTCTGAATTGGGGGGCAGTTTTTGTAACTTTCCAAAACCAATAATTAAACTTTTATGCCCACTTCACTCAGTGACTGGAAAGGTGCGTGTGTGGTAAGTGAGAAAGTCTTTTCTCCCTAGCTGCCTTCTCAGGCACGCCAGCGTTATGATTTCATGTGTAGGAGTGTTAGTCTAAATATTGGTCAAAACTTTACTTTATCTAATATGTCATAATGTCTCAAAATATCTCAATATCTCTAACATTAGATGCACATTCATGGTTCCCAGACTTTGCCGATCCTGTAGCATCATCACGAGGTTGACATTTATGCTTTTGAGTGTATGAGCTACTGTATGGATTCCATGGAATAAATTATCATTACCATAACCAAATGTGTTTACTGCTACTGAGCAATTGCTTCATTGTTGATCACAGTCAGGCTGGAGATGTTAAAATCACACTGGACTGCTCCTTACGATCCACTGTGTCAGATCTCTATTCATTTATTTTTCTTATAGACTTATTGGCATTTAATTTCATTTATTCTATTCTATAATCGTCACTTTATTATTTTCTGTTGTCCTATTTCACGTCTCTCTATCTAACAAGCTAAACAAGACAAACAATTGTAGCTGCTAAACATTGACATACTGGCATCATGACTGTGAGGATGTTAGTATGCTGACTTTAGCATTTATCAGAACCGCTGTGTCTAAGTATAACCTCACAAAGGTGCAAGCATGGCTGTAGAGTCTTTCATTCTTCACACTACTTCCGTCACTTTTCTTATGTAAAATAAGAACAACATACAACAGCATGAATGCCTTTGAGGGAAGACTGTGAGCCCCACCAAACTAGTTCATCTCAAACATACCCAGGCCTCAAGACTAAAGAGAGCCACTCGCAATCAACCTAACAAAGACCCTATAATACTTTCTGCAATCAAACATCATGCTTCAAACAAAGTGCTTGTCATTGTCAATGTCTATGTTTGAAGCAATAACTTAATACTAAAATTAACAATTTGTCTTTTGCAGGCAAATAAAGGCTATCTTAACTGTATTTAGGACCTTTATGGACTAAACTTCCATCTTCCTCCATGTCCCCTGTTGTTATCAGTCAGTCCCTGGAGCTACCTGCTCTGGAGAGTGTTCACTGGTGAACACCCAGGTCCCATGAGAATCCACATTGAGGTTCCAACCAGCTGGAGTACTGCGGTCCAGGTTGGCCCTCGGGATGACGGTCCTGCTAACATGACTGAGTGTGTACTCTTTAGGGAGGGTTGGAGGGCCCGTGGCATGAAGATCCTCATAGCCTTCCGGTGGATCAGCAGCTGGGTAATCCTCCGGGGGATAGTCCTCCTCAGGTAGAGGGGGCTGGGGATGGAAACACGGTGGAAACACGGTGTACATTAATACAAATACAGGTAAAATATAAAGCAGTTTATTGTTTCCCAACCTTTCTGGCTTGTGGCCCTTTGTAGCCAAAACATCTGGCTGAGGGTTAGATAAGTTAGAAGAGCAGCTGTAAGGTAAATAGAAAGCTACAGCTAGCAGCTAGTTTCGCACAAAGATGGTTGCTGGCTCTGTCCAGAGGTAATAAAGTCTAACTACCAGCAAATCTAAAGCTCTCTACTTAACACAGCGTATCTCACAGTTTAATCTGTACAATATTCAAAGTGTAGAAATGGTTTATATTGGTCTAGTCCTCTAGCGCGTAAGAAGTGCTGGTACAAGGATTTCGTTACCTACTGGACAGTCAAGCAAGCTGTTTCTCCCGGTTTCAGACTTCATGCTGAGCTTAATTAACTGGAAGCTTCATATTCAACAAGCTGTCATGAGAGTGATATTGATATTCTCATCTAGGCCTTAGCAGGAAAGTGAATAAGCATATTTCCAAAAAATTTTAAACTTGTCCTTTAATCATTACTTGGTTCCCCACCTCAAGGTTTGGGAACAGTTGCAGTAATTACTGTAATAGGACTGGCACTGGTCATTGCCTTAGTTCATGTTTTTGTGTTGAAATGTTGCTACATCTCACTAAATAATGTCAGCTGAATCATTTCCCTCTGTGACCCTCATTCAGAGCTCAATGACTTTGCCATGACTTAGACAAATAGGTTTCCGCAGCCTCAAAGTATTATTCTTTCTTGGCCCATTAATGTTGTTTTCTAGCTCAAAAAAGCCAGTATGGGGCAGAAACAGGGTCACTTTTTGCTTGTGTGAGATAATTTGCTTCAACATATTCCTATGAAGTGAAGCATTTGGACATTTCCTGATATGTCTTGAATCCTCCAAAGACTTTGATTGTCTTGAACACTTGAATTAATTCAAAATGAGGACAAATGTATATGTTCTTTTAAAGTTAGGGACACTACTGTTGGGGACATTCTGCACTGGTGCTGTGGGCTTTCCTAATGAAAATGAGTCCTGTCTGCTATGTAGGTGCAGGAGATTTAATTCCATTAAAAGCAGACTGTATTTACAGCTTTCCCCTGGGTGAAGCTAAAACAGGAGAAAGAGAGAAGCTAAGTAGAGCAGCCAGGCTGTCCTTACCGGCCCGTCCTCGTGAAACCTGTGCACACTCATTGGCTCCATCAGAGGGGGATACGGGCTCAGCTGCTCTGGAGGCTCCCAGGACGTCTCCCCAGACATCGGGTTGTAGAAGTAGGGGCGACCGCTACTCTCATCAACCAACTGCTCCCAGTCTGAGGTCCACGCAGGGGGGGAGGCGGTGGACGGAGAAAGGGCAGGAGACTGAGGAGGTGAGGGGGAACAAGGCTCCTCAGCGGGGAACCGCTCAGGGTCCGTGGGGGAGTCTAGAAAGGGGTTATCCCAGGTGGTGCGCCCCGTAGTGGGGTGGTAGTAGTACTCCTGTCCACTTTCTTCGTCAACATGCACCTCCCATCCCTCTTGGTCAAGGTAGGAAGGAGAGTAGGACGAAGGGGCTGAGGGGGGAGACTCAGAGATGCTTTTGCGAAGTTGTGCTACATTGACGTACACGGCTGACCGGAGACTTTGATTCTCCACCTGTGAAGAGGGCAAAAACGGGAGATGTAGAAACTCAAGTACATCTACAGAGTGCTTCTACAGAACAAGGACTGAAGTTAATGTAGGAACAGTGTGTGTGGGCTTTGACATTTTATAAAAAAGTAAAACAAATGACATTTTTAAACAATATAATAAGTTGTGTCTAGCACCTGCCTTCAGCCCACTGTTCTTAGTATAGCGCTCAGTAAGTCAGGCTTCCGGATCTTAAAGAGCACAGGAAGTAGCCTACAGCAGAAAAACACACACACCACAGAGACGTTCCTCCCAAAACAATGATCACTACCTAATTCTAGTATCATTTATTGAGCACAAAAACACCCAAGCACACAAAAAACCTGTCAGTTTATGCCTGCATTAGTCAATGTGCCATTCTGTGGTGTGTTACCATACTACCGTATCAGAGACAGCAGCTGACCACAGGCTAGTTGCAGAGGACTAAAAAGTAGGTTAAACTTCACCACCAGGCATGATCTGCCACAAAGCAGGGCAAGATCATGCCTGGTGGTGCCTAATGAATAAAGTCTAATGAATAAAAAGTCTTCATCACTCTAAAACAAACTGCATTTTCAGTTTCTCTCTATTAGAGAGCTGTCATAACTTGAAATGTCATGTACAGAGCTCCACATGATTCAACTGGCTGGCAGAACATATGCAAATAGGCACGAACACCCAAACTAATTTGTTTACAGAATGACAATTGGAGTGAAACTGAGATGTGATGAAAGGTTGCCTCTGTCTTCAGAACACTAAAACTGTGATGCAATGAAAAGTGGCACAGTTACACTTGAAATGACCCCTGCTAAAATAAAAACAATGTCATCTTTCTTCAAGTTGTTTCTCACCTGTGCTCCACCGAGGCCTTTATTCCTGACCGTAAGTCTCCTGGGATCTAACACCTTGCATCGTCTTTTAAACGCCATCATGATGGCACAAATACAAAGAGAGGCTGCTGTCTCTCTCAGAGTACACTGCCTCTTGTCTTTCAGCTAGCCTCATAGTCTATATTTACCAAGACCTGAGATCTGCGTGTATATGTGCTGCATCTGTTCATCACTGTGCTAAATGTGCAGCGCTATAAAGAAGAAAAATTTCAGAGAAGCCAACACTTAAGATGTTAAATGTTATCCTACTTTATGCTTCTACTACTCTATTTGACAAAAGTGCAGTGCACAAAAACCTTTTTATCAAGTCATTTGAGTGCGTAATTGAGTTCCTTAAGTCTTATTTTCTTTTAAAAATAAGTATTTTCAACAGTATACCCTCTTTTTTTTTTTTTTAAATAATTTTGCTCAAACCTGCCTTTCTTAAATTGTTATGGTGGTAATGTAGAACATGTAATGGAGTAAAGAAAATAAATAAATAAAAATAAAATAAAATAAAATAAAAAATATAAAAGTGAATAAAATAAAATGATCAATTTCATGATCAACTGTGCGTTTGTTAGCTGCCTATTCAGTGTTATCAATTAGCTGACATTGCTTCATCATTGATCTCAATATAACCATGAGGCAATCAATGCGGACAACCAGACAACTGACCCCGAAACAGATTGATTCCACAACACCCAGAAGCAGACAGAGGAAATGAAAGAGCTGCATCAATAATGTC